GTGTCACTCCCGCACTGTGAACGGATCTGATGCGGTGTTACTCCTGCACTATGAACGGATCTGATGCGGTGTCACTCCTAAACTGTGGTGTGGGCAAGGCAGACAATCTTACTTGGAAAAGGTGCGGGACACTTTCTCGGAGTGGCAGTACACCGTATGGAAGAGCCAGGAGAAACATAGGCACAGCACAGCACCCAGAAAGAACATCCCGAACACCACCTTCTCCTGCAGGGGCGCCATGAAGTAGACATTGGGGCGCAGCATTGTCAGGATACCCAGGCACAGGAACAGGATCAGACCTGAGGAAGCAGATTAAATGATGTTTAGCCTTAAAGGATGGGCAGAGGCAGAGAAAATCAAGGTGATCGTAGGGGAGACTGGGAGAGGAGTGAGAAAGAGAGGATAGCAAGATAACAGAGAAAACTGAGAACGTGAGGTGAAAGGTCAAGGTGGATGAGCATGGGGCTACGTGACTGTGTCTGGGGCAGTGCTTTGAGGCTCACCAAGCAGGTGTGTCCAGATGTTGCCGGTCTCGGTGTGGATCCTGAAGATGCTGCCGAAGCAGGCCCGGAAGGAAGGCATGGGCGGCCGGTGCCCGTGCAGCAGGTAGTCATTGTCCTTCAGCCACTCCGGCAGCACATGGTATGGGATCACCCTCCAGCGTCCTTCCCACATCTGCAAAACACAGCCATTATTAGCAGGAACACTGGGACACTGCATTTACACTGAAGTCCCGCTCAGTAAGCTTTCAGTGCAAAACATGACATTGTGCAATGAAAACATTACAATCATAAGTCAAGGTAACCTCACTGAGCATTAACCCAATCCTGCGTTAGGGTTATACCCAATGCAGCATGTAGACTTGAGCAGCCCAGGACAGGCTGCTGTGGGATGTTTTGCCACTCAAGCTGCGTAGCTGTAGTCAGCAGGTAAAGGCTGGCTGGAAGTGGCCGACACCCGTTGAAGGGCAAGCCCTCACAAAAACAAGACTTTATGTTGTGCTGTTGTAATCCTAGTACTGTGTTTTCTTGCATTGCCACACAGGAAATGGATGTTTCTAGAGAGGCCCGCAGGAAAGGAAAAACCGTTGGCTCAAGCCCTTTGTTAATGTGTGGCGGAGAAAGAAGCCTGCCCTCAACCTGCATTAGAGGAGTTTGTTTGAATTAAAGGAGATTTCTTCACACTTTACACTTCAATAGCCCCACCACTTGGCTGAGACAGCAGTCAGCACAACTCTCACCACTTTTCACACATATGTTTTTCAGTCAGGACGGGCACGGGCCAAACAGAATCCACTGGTGAATAAGTGAATTAAACACTTCAAAATTCTGTCCTGACAATAAATGTTCTCTGGCCCACACAAATGTCACTTTTGTCTCTCATCTGTTAATGCTACCCCTGAACAATCTCCAAACATGCAGTTCATTTTCAATGCAGACAGAGCCTCAGTTGAAGTTAGGGCTATTTCTTCCTGGCCTGTGCTGTAGACAGTCTCAGGAAAGAGCAGTGATTCCTTTGCTTTCTAGGATGTGACCTATCCCTGTCAAAGCAGTGATTTCTGGTTCCTCCGGACTAGTCTGCCGATTGCTGAAGCCGAACATCTCATTCTCTGGGCGGCTTCTCTCAAACTGAGGCCACTATCAATTATTCTGATCGCAATTTAGCGGTCTCCATTACTCAAGCAGGGGATCTTTTTCTGTGCTTGTATACATTAAAACAATATGTTTTCAACGTCTAGTCATACAAGTCCTTAAATCAATTAATTTCAGCAATTTCAAAAGCTCTTTGTGAAAGCTGTAGAAAGCTTTATATGAAATCTCATGACTTGAGTTCAGTATCGTGTTCTACCAAAGAACAATATTACTTAATCAACACCTCTGTCTGCACACTGTTTGAAATTTAAATAACATTATGCATGTGCCCATCATGACACTGACTTAAAATCTGATCATCCAAAACTCTCGTGATATGTGTTTACTTTTAAAAGCGGCAGAATAGTATACTCCCCAGGTGGGAATCTATGGAACATTCAGTCTTTGCTGGGCAACACGCTTAGCTTGGGCACAAAGCTCTCCGAGATACTGCATGTAGGCTTGAGACATGGAAAAGTTGCTTGAGCACAAATCAGAGCACGTGTGTGAGGCTTCTGGCACTGCTTGTTCTCATTAAAGCTGAGTGCCCGTCATGTGGGCACTGGTTCAAGCACACCCAGCCTGGTGCCAGCACGGCACCGACTGCCTACCTTGTACACAAACTCCTCCATCTTCTCCATGGCATGATGGGCCTGCAGCGGCAGTGTAATCACTCTCACTCCTTCCTCCTCCTCCTCCTCCTCTTCCTCCTCAGGGCAGGCTGCTGCCCCTGCTGGCCCCTGCAGAGGCACAAAGCCACATTAGCCCCTGCAAGCAGGCAAGTGATCCTTACAACGGTTTACTATGGTGAACGTGGGCCTTATTTCTCCCTTAATCCGACTAGTAATATGATCAGATCCCACTCCTCCATTTGATCTGTTGTGTGGCGGAGCTGCTGCTGGAGCAAAATGGCAGTCAGGCCCAGGTGGATGCTACACTTCAATGGTGGGATTCTGTCTCCCACCTATATGTACAGTACTTTGAGATCCTTTGGGATGAATGCAAGCAATTACTGCTATTTCTGCAACCTTCCCCCTACTTTTACCATTCTTGTAATAATCCACTCACTCCGAACTGTCAACCCCACAGACTGTAGGATTAATATAGTACAAGCCGGTGGACACGTGTGTCACCTAAAAGGAAGCTCATTTAAGATGGAAAACTCTGTACACAAAGAGTTGTGGGAGTCTGGTACAAGCTACCCAGTCATGCTGTTCAACCCGATATACCCAAAACAGCTAGATGAGATCCTCACATTAATTAGTTAAGAGCAGGTTAACTAGTTAACTAGCAAAAGTTAGCTGGCCTCCTGTCATCTGTAACAGTCCTCAAGCTTCTATCAAGGAGATACTGGGTACAGTTTGTTGTTCATCCTGTTCTGGATGCCGACTACGCCCCTTCCTCTTTCATGTTGCATCGTCGTGTGTGGTCTCACCAATTTTCTGCTCCTGATTTCAGTTGCATTACTATTTGCCAGATGTCCTCACTAAAGGCATGCCCATGTCTATGTTGTATTGTGTTTTCCCACAATCCCCTTTGCATTACAATTCTATCCATCTGGCACTGAAGGAGGAGAAACCTGTTTAGACATGTCATATGCAAGCAGAGAGCTGTGTGCTGCTTAGCTGTTGTGTCAGGGACCTTTCAACACCAGTCACTGGTAAAGTGATGGTCTGAATCTGCTCAGCTACTTCTGGGCGGAGTACATCTTTGCTAAAGGCCTTTTGTGTTTTTTACGTTCCCCTCAATCAGAGAGGCGTGGATCAGAAAAAAGATCAGAATTGAACCTCCCCCTATGATAAAACTCTGATTCTTATCAGTCTATACTAAAAACACAAATAAAATACAAGCAAAACACCAGACCCGTATGGAAGCTTATTAGAGCCACGGAGAAAAATATATTTTTTGTGTTCATATAAGATTGTGCTGCTTTTAAACTTGAAACCTTTTGCATTTGTAAGAGACAGTATTGCATTTAAACGAGCTAACATACAGCTCAAATGTGATTAATATGTGAACAATACTGTTATTGTTGGTTAATTGTTGACTCTTTAAGCATAAAGCCCTCAAAGGTTTTTGGACTACACTATGCTCATATCAAATCCATTTGAATTTGTAATAAAAAAGCAAAATGCAGGAAACATGTCATTTAAAGGAAGAAGAAACAGTATTTCTGTGTCCATTGGCAAATGTAAATGCAAATGGAATGTAAAAATGATAGGGGAATGCCAAAACAAAAACAGGACGGCACACAACCCATGATACAGTTGTTAGTACATCGTTGGCTTGGTCTACCAATGATTACCAACAATAATACCAGTTACAGTAAGCCAGCAATAGGTAGACGTCTTACTGTCAAGTCATCATAAATGTATTCCGTTCAATGTTTACAGAGAAGGCAAAAACCTATGTACAGTTCCTTTTTTTCTGCAGTTTTACATGTAGAATAACATGTTTGGAAAGCCACGTGATTTCTACTTTTCACAGAAACGGCAAAACCGAGACTCTTTTAACCCAGGAATGCTCACTAGCAAGGAGTTCTACTTCATGTATACAAAAAGAACTCCACGCGCTCCTGTCGCTTAATTCTTTTGTGCAAAAAGGAGTGTCACCATATTCTTCTGTTCTTAAAGTCCATGCTAGTGTGTATGGGACAATACTATTGTATATATATATATTGCGACATTATAGCAGGCGATATTGTTCGCAAATTAATTATCCCGTTTTAAGGCAATGTTTACTTGTATAAACTCAGAAAAGTTTTTAGTTTAAATGCAAGACTGTGTTAAACTTTTTTTTTCCTCTGTGGCGCAAAAAAGCTTCCGTAGACCTGAGGAGCTGTATATAAAACGCACTGGGAAGTTGTGTTCAGTCACACAGTTAGCTTCGCTAGCTTTCTCTGACTGGAGCTCCAGTGTCTGAGACCCTCTGCATCTCCCTCCCCCCCCCCAGGTCCAGAGGACTCACCCCAGCTGTGGCCCCCTGTGCCTTGCCTGGCCCCCCGGACTCCTCCAGCAGGGGGCCCAGCTCTGTCAGCTCCACATCCTCGGGGGCGCGGCACACCTCGGTGATACGGCACTCTTCATCGCTTGCCGAGCCGTTCCTGGCCGACATGGGGAGATCGCCCTCTTGCCTGGCCTGACCGCTGTGCCCCACGTACAGGGCACCCTTTCTTGCTGCGGACAGACACAGACACACAGCAAGATCACAACCCCTGCCGCCACGCCACTGACACATCAGCCCTGGTCGGCCACAACAGGGACCCCAGATGGCCAATGAGATGCACTGCTTCCACATCCACACTTAATTGATCAACCGGAGCTAACATGGTATTTTATTCCCACGTTTCTGGGAGTATCCATTTACTGTACTAGTGATGGGGCAGAAAATTGCCCAGAATGGTCTCAAACGGCTTTGTGACCAGTGTCTTCTCTTCTCTGTGCTTTGAATGTTGGGATCTCGGAGGCCGAGAACAAGAGTAAGCATTTTTTCGAATAAAGGTTTCGTTTCCTGAAGTGGTGTCTGACTCCTCCAGTCCAGTTCCAGACTCTTGTAGAATCTATGCCAAGGGGCACTGAAGCTGCACTGGTGGGACATGGTGGCCTAACACCCTGTTAATACACTTTATATTGGCGTTTTCTCTATTTTGACTTACTGTGCTATATATCAGCACATATTCAAGGTTCTAGTCTTTGTATTAAATATGTAAGGAATATTTAAACAGATACTTAAACCATACAGCTCTGTATCGGTGACCAAACTCCCTCAAGGTCTGTTAAAGTAAAATAAGAACTGACTTTGTAAAAGAAACGGTAATTGGTCATCTCCTAACAGAACAGAACATAAACCCCTTGAGCGTGAAAAAACCCAACTCACAACTCCAATACTTTGAATTGCAGTTAATGGTGATAAAAACATGTACTGCACCCAGAGCACAATGAATACAAAGAGCTATATACAGATGTAGCTAAGACTCTCTTTTAAAGAGAGGTATGATGCTGTCAAATAAACGCTGCCAAAGAGCTACCAAGCACAAAACGGAGCAGACACAAACATGCCAACGTACCTGGTGTAGCTGAACACGGAAAACCAGACAATTCCACGGCGCTCATTCTAAAGTGGCGGGGCTGTGTGGGCATCTAATGCATTTATAGTCCCAAAGTGGCAAGTGAGCAGTCAGAGAACAAACGTCACACATTAACGTCATTCTACAAAGCAAAGCTTAAAGCTTCTTTTGACCCACAAACCATCAAGGTCATCGCTGCCAACAACGTACAGGCCGATAAGATGACAGCTGAAACGGGCAAGTCTCCGCATCAGAAATAAGAAGCACGGACGTAGCTGGGGGCTTTGTTTATGCTGGAATTGCACATGTTGTACTTTGCTCCCATTCTTCTTTTCAAACACATAAACATTCACCCACAACTGCCAAACTGTCCTGTCTGAGGCTGCATACGCTGTCTGGACTGAAGCTGCACTCCAGCATTGGGCTTTTAAGGGACAAAGCCAGATTTGGAAAATGTATCACCTTGGGGGTGGGGGATTCAACCTCAGTAAATCCCCCAAGAGTGTGCTGCGACTATAGAAGTCCTCTAAGGTCGACGCTTTGTTTTTATTAAAGTGTCTAATTAATCTTTACTCTCACCTCCTGAGTGTATACAGACAGCACTGAGTAAAAGAAAACTCAGCTTATTACTGTACAGTCATATTATAAGTTTATTACATATTACACTGTACAGTGTACATATGGTGTAAAAATAACAATAAATCCATCTATTTCCTAACTGCTTTGTCCAATACAGGGTCACTGTGGAGCTGTAGTCTCTCCCAGCAAGCAATGGGCTCAAGGCAGGATACACCCTGAACAGGACACCAGTCCATCGCAGGGCAGGCAGACAGACATACACTCACACCAGGGCCACTTTCCCCTGAAGCCAATTAACCCTACCAGTAGGTCTTTGGACTGAAAGAAGATACCAGAGCACCTGGAGGAAACCCACACAACCAAAGGGAGAATATACACACAGATTATCCCCCTGGTCCAGAATTGAACCCAGGTCCCCAGAGCTGAGTCAGCAACACTAACCACTGCGCCACTGTGCAGCTCAGGAACAAGACAAAGAAGCAAACATCTTGGAGAGCATTTGCAGATTGATCCAAAAATCAGGAAACCAGACAATATTTCCAGCACAGAATTAACATCCACACAGCACAGAAATAGGCTTCTGTTTTAATAACAATGCTTATTCTGATTTCCACCGTCGATCACAGTCACGACCTTAAGAGCTATCATCTAAATAATACAGAAATAAATGACCAATCTGACTTGAGCGAGTAGGACCAGTAAAGACTTCAAAGGGAATAACTGGGTTCGGTCTGGGGGTACAGTATTCGTCACATGCCGGACAGTCAGCGCTAGGATCAGTCACATCGAAAACATATCACTGCTCAATAGGTATGCTTCAATCGACGGCATGGATTAGTGAACAACGCTCTGTCTGTAGAGGGCACCAATGCAGTATTAAGCCGGCGACTGCCTACTATATGTTATTATACTTTTGTCACGCAGCTGCACAAACTGCAGATGCCTGACACTCCGAGGGCAACTTCGCTCAGCAGATGCGACGGCGATTTTCCTTCTCAGATCCACGGATATTCCCACCCGAAAGGCCGGATGGTGGCTTTTGTGTTGGCTCGGCGAGATCCGGCCGCCTGCCCCGCACCGATCCAGGGAGACCAGCTCGGCTGGGAGCCGGAGAGCCTCGGCACCCGAACGGAACCTCCTGACACCGGAACCGAGCTCAGCGCGCGCCCGGTGCCTGGAAACCCGTCACTTTCCGAACATGCCCCGGCGGCCAACCTCAACTCCAAACTGCCAAGATCTGAACCCGAACCCACGAAAGCCGCTTGTGTAACTCAGGAACAACAGACCGACGTGTGCGCGCTTGAATGCCCGGGGCTGAAACCAACATCGGACGGCGAACCCGCCGGTTTTCTCCGCTTCTCAGCAGAGTTCGGAAAACCCTGTCCCGTCTTACCTGATTCTACCCGACCGGACGCCGATTCCGACCCAAACTACAGGTCGCTTCTTCCGGCTTCCTGGGAAAACAACAAGCCCGGCGAGGAAACGAAGAGGCTTCTCTCTGCGCAGACTCCGAAACGCCGAAGGCCCAGTAGCGCCACCTGCTGCCCGACGCGGAGGGCGACGCTTCAAACGTCCCGTACGGTTGTTTTCAAGACCTGCTACGTGCCTTGTGGCCACGCAGATTCACCAAGCTAACTTCAGCGGATGGGAGCTCAACTGAAACGAAAAAAAAAAAACACACACAGATTATAATCAGCAGGTTAATATTAGCATCCAGTGAATCCTCACATCATAAATTTGGTTTTGAAAATTACTTTTTTTGAATAATGTTAAAACTCTAAATAAAAACCCGTTTAGGGGTTTAGTAGCTAATTTTTTCGAGGATCTCATCCAGGCGTTTCTTGCAGAAGCTAATATATCGGCTTCAACAAAAGGGCTGAGCTGCTTGTTCCAGACCCCCACTACCCTTTGTGTAAATGTGTGCCTTCTTTTCTTTGTTTAAAGGCACTTTAGCTTAGTTTTCTTTTGTCTTATGCTTTTGTCAAAGCCCCTGGTGATTTTGAACACTTGAATCATGTACCCCTCGTCGTTTTCTCTGTTAACAACTTAAACTATTTTAGCACAAATAATTTTGCCTGTCGCAGTAGAACTGACAATGGGAGCGTATCCGGTTGTTCTTCTTCGGTCTGAAAGACTTCTAAAGTAGCAATATCTCCTGAAACCCCTTATCTGTACTGGCCTCTTTCCATTAACCAGTCCAAAGACATCGTTTACTTTGCTTACCTTCTCCCTAAAACTTAAGAATTCATATTTTATGTAGAATTTTATTAAAATATTTCTGAAAATATAAATATATTTACAGCTCTATTTGTAATCATACAGTTGTAGCTTGTTCAAAAGAACTATAACAGGTTAAACTAGATTCGATTCAATTCAATTTTATTTGTCATTATACTTACACAGGGATAAAAGTATAAAGTGTTTCTCATTATTCTCTCAGGTGCAGTTTATATAGAGCAGACAAGACAATAGACAGGAAATACAATTACAATAACAATAACAATGTAAACAACGAGATGGTACAGTGTAAGAGTACCCATATACTAGATCTGCCTTTTCCACGTCGACATTATCTAATAAAATCTGTTTCCTCACACTCTGCTCTCGTTCCAATTCAAACAGGAACGTGACTGAATTGTTTCTGGCTGTTTTAAGGGACACACAGTAACGGGTATTACCGGTTTGACAACCGGTTCTGCAATTGAATTGTTTTTACTAATAATGTACAATGGTATTTTATAGATTTTCAATGTGAAAAAACGTGACATGTTTAGCATTTATCTACAATTTAATTGTACATTTAATGTTATTCTATCGGGTCGTATGTATATAGTATATAGTATGTGAAATTACAGTGAATTAATTGGCGATCCCAATTGTACAATGTGTGACTGTTACCTTTATTGCTAGGTATTATGCCATAATTGTCTTATTTTCTTTCGGATTTAAATATATGTTAAGCTTTTTATTACGCAAGGTGAGGATTCCGGATGGAATCGTCACGAAGAACAGTTCTTTAAGCGTTACCGTAATAGGCTGTAACTAAGTGTATCTGATATCAGTTCATATGCCCGAATGATCTGATTGCTTGTCTTATTAATTACTGAGTGAATACACATGCATTTTAATTACTGTCGTGGAGCTTTCACTTGTATTTGAGCTGAAGACTTACGGTGAAGTACAGAGAGTGAGACTACACACTTGCAATTTTGTAATCTGGAACCCGTATTTACCGTTCTCATAATTACATCTGTTTATGGACGTGGTTTTCTGGAGGGGCATCGTGTTGTTTCTGAGCGTTATAGTTTTAGAATCTAGTTTGAGAAGCTGCGCTTCCCGTCTGTTTTCACTGCGCTACGGCGGACCTTGCAGCTATAGGGTCTGGTATAGGCTTAAATTTAAGGTTTAATAGTGCGTAACTACTATAGGGAAATAAACTAGTGAGGGAGTTCTGCTGGAGCACTGCATGGCAGGAGATTTCGAAAAATGGGTATCCCATCGAAATTATTTGTCTTACACTCACTAAACGAAGAAGCAAAACGAACAGTCCAGTCACCCTAATAGCGTTATGAGTCTTTTTTTATATAAATTGCCCAGAGTAAACTCTCGCCTATCGAAAGTGTTCTGTATTGATAATCAGCTCTTCTCGTTAATTAGAAAAAAAAAACAACTTTAGCTCTTGTCCTGCAGGCGACGGGCCACACGCAGAACATCTGTGTACCGCCGCAAGATGAAACCCTCAGCACCGTTTTCAAGGATTTCTCTTTGGCTGCCCCGTACGCCTGTCAGAGGCAGAAGGTTTAATTTACTCAGCTTTGTCTGCCCGGAGCAGAAATTACGCGTGGGCACCCGGGGGATAAAATAAATCTTCCCGATGCACTTCATCCGCTACTGCAAAGAGACCGGCGCGCGCGAGTTCACCTTCACCCGCACCCTGACCCGCAAAGTAGCGTGACGCTAGCTACATTAAGCGACGCTAGCTTGTCAGCACCTTTCAAAATAAAAGCCACCTAAACAGATATTTAAAAACTCAGTTTGAATCCGGGTCGGATCGCATTCAGAGCCGACAGACTTGGCTTCTTCGAGCGCGCCCTGCTGGAGTTCCTCAGGATCACCGAGACCTGCATCACCACCGGGGAAATGACAGAACGGTTCCTCTCTGCACCCAAAGAGAGCGAGACCCAAACCCGTGTGTGTTCATTTCAAGTGAAGAAAATACAGTGTTAACATAATGCTGCCTCCACCGTGCTTGTCCGAAGGGATGGTGTTGAGTTTGCACCAAAGACAACGCTTTGCATTTATACCTTAGGCCAGCAGCCATATCAGCCTGCAACTCTCAACTGGCAGTCCCCTGAAGCTCAGCAGGCGTGAGCCTGGTCATTACCTGTATTGTAGACCTCCTGGGAAAAACTAAGGTTGCTGCTGGAAGAGGTTTTAGTGGGGCCAGTAGTAATGCTTGCCCTGCAGTCTGTGTGGGTCCTAATGCCCCAGTATAGTGACAGGGACACTATACTGTAGAAAGGCGCTGTCCTTTAGATGAGATGTAAAACTGAGGCCCTGATTAAAAATCCAGGATCTTAAGGATATTACCCTGGCTTCCTGGCCAAATTTCCCATTGGCCTTTACCAGTCATGGCCTCCTAACAATCCCCATTTATGAATCATCACTCTGTTCTCCTCCCCACCGATAGCTGGTGTGTAGTGAGCGTGCTGGCACACTATGGCTGCCATCCCATCCAGGTGGATGCTGCACATTTGTTGTGGTGGAGGGGAGTCCCCATTACCTGTAAAACATTTTGAGTGGAGTGTCCAGAAAGTGTAAGTGTAAGCAATTATTATTAAATCAAAAGAACAATTTGTGTCTCGTCTGACCACAACAACTTTAGCCACGTTTGCAGCATCACCACTTGAATATTGTAACGCTTACGGCCGACAGGCACTGTGTAAGAGCCGGCGTACCAGAGCAGGTGACGTCACCGCCCTTCCCTGTGATAGCAGGACTACAGCTACTGGGCTGTAGAGAGATCTCTCTTTAGCTCACGGGGCTAGGTCGCTGCAGAGAGACGCGGAAGTCCTGGGTTCGAGCCTCCAGTCGGGATGGGGCCGACCAGATGCGGCAAGGGCGCCCGCCTGAGCCCCCGTTGCGTTACATTGGTGTCAGAGCGGGGTGGGATAGCCCTTCGCCGGGAACGGGCTGTAGAGAGATCTCTCTTTAGCTCACGGGGCTGGGCTCTTGAGCCCCCGTTGCGTTACAATATGTTGTTGCAAGCTCCATGCAGGGTTATGGATGGGTTTGCCGGCTAACAGAGGTCAGTTTTGTGTACTGATGGGGATATTGTTGGCTTTTGGATATTTATTGCCATCTGAGACATAGAACTCTGCAGCTCTTTCAAAGTTGGCCTCACAGTACTCTCCCTCCCCTGATTCCTCCTTGACCAGTTGCTCAGTTAGGAGGGACGATCTGATCTAGGCAGTGTCTGGGTAGTGCGATACAACTTTCACTCAGTAACAAACTTCAACCGTGCTCAGATGTATCGTCAGCAAACGCTTTTGAAGAGTATTAAAAAATATTTCTAATCTTTTCCCTTTCTAAAACTTTATCCCCGAGATGGTTTAAAAAGTTTTTTTGTTTTAATGTTTGAACCTTTGCTTGAAATTCACTACCTGACCGGGGGACCTCAAAGAGACGGATGTATTTATTCTGAAAGATTTTGATTATTTATGGAGTTTATAAGGTGTTAAATGTACTTCTGAGGTCCCGGTGTTACTGTAAGCTTAAAATCATGTCCTGCAATTGTTTTTTATTGGCCCTAAATTAATTTTGTTAAAGACGTATCTGTAGTTGTCAGATTTACAATTATAAGAACATCAACAATTCTACAAAAATAAAGGGGAGCATTTGTTTTATTCTTGAAGCTAATTGAACCCAGAATTAATCCAGTCTTTTTCTCAAAGAAGCAAAGGTATCACCGTCAACTGTACGGCTGGGTGGCTTGTTCCACTCTCCCATCACTCTTTGTGTTAAGTTGTACCTCCTGCTCCATTTTAATAGGACTTCCCTGCTGTGCTCAAATTTTCAACTAGCCTACAACTGTTAATAGTAGTGACATATTCCACCACACATCCTCCTGTTGTGGAATAATAGGTTATGTGTAGGGCTGCTTGCTCATTATGACGATTATGATCATTATTAACTGAGCCAACCTCTGGACAGTCCACAGTAAATTAAACAAGATGATACAATGTAAGTCTCGTACTGTACAGCTATAAACCTTAGTGCCTGACCGTAGTATTAGAAAGGTGATCTTGAGAGGCCGAGGTGCAAGAGCAAGGGTTAGTACACCTTCTAAGCAGACAGCTCTACAATGCTACAACACACCTGCTCCCAAAATAACAGAACTGGGCCATTCCTCACTGTGCCTAATGCAATTGACAATTATCCTGATATATGTAAAAGTTTATTCCATGCTGAAAAGAGAAGACAAGAAGGGGAGGACCCCACAGCCAAAATGTTATCTTCTCTTTTCAGCATGGAATAAACCTTTACTTGTTCCTTTGCAGCCTACGCATGCTGACGCAGCTCCCTGCTTGAACTTATCCTGATATATGATCCATCATGCCAAGCTCACAGCTATGGGGCACAAACGTGTGCGTTTGGTCGCTCTCTAGATGAAGTTGCATAATGAAGGCTTTATGCATATTTTATTGATCACTTTTGCAATAAATTACAGTTCTGTAGAATAAGCATCTGTGGAAATTTAGCAGAGTTGAGATCAGGTTAAGGTCTAGGCTGAGTTATTAATTTTCTACTGAGTCAACATTATGAATGAGTCGACAGGTGGTCTTTACACAGAGAGTTGAGGGAGTATGAATCGGCTGAACCGCCGATACCCCTTTCAAGCAACGTCTGAATGAGATTCGGAGATCAAACCTGTGATCTAACTAGCAATCAGGCTACACTAGTCAAACACTCTCCTGTCCCCTGTCCTTATATGTTACTGTTCTGCTCCAAGCGTAGACATGTGTAAAGTACTGAACAGTACAAAGAAATCACAACAAAACCAACCACATTTGAGCATTCAAACATTTTATTATGGCATGACACCAGAAAAACAAAAGGCACCTTTGTCATCACTGAGGCACAGCCTTGATGGCAGCTTCCATTGCCAGGCTGAGATCAATCACCTAGCTGCCATCTCAATCGGTTTTAGAAATTAGAGCCACGACTACTATTGAAACAGATTTCCAAAAGCACTATACCACCTAGTTTTACCAGTAAGCCAGCGAGCCACTCAGATCAATCACTAGTGACCGCAGTGTTCATGAAACTGCTGGTTTCTTTAAAAAAAAAATATCCTTACAACATTTATTCTGTAGTTCCACACCTCAGACAGCACAGAACCAACATCCAGAAACACCAGGATTTGAAAATGTGTGGGATTAACACAGCAGTTTTAAGGAACTGAAGAGAAGGTGCATAGTCGATCGATAAACGGGATAGTCAAAGCACTGAGCTCAGTGAGAGGCTTACACATTAGGTAAATTATGCAGGTAGATTACTATTATCCACCCAGAGCAACAAAAAACATCAGTGCGCGTGTCATTTTCTCATCCTATCACTCATTCTTAGTACTGACCCATGTTTTGTGAGCGGCGGCAAACAATTTAAGAAAAAGTGTCCAGCTGGCAGGATGAGAAGCCTATCATGCTTTTGCGCTCCTCGAGAAACGACTCCAAGCATGACCTGTGTACCTTCTAATGAGCCACATCCACAACAGGATCCCTTGCTCACACTGCAGTGCTAAGGAAAAAAAGAGCTCAAGCACAGCGCAGTTCAGACATGTACAGACAGACGTTACTGACCTTCAGTCCATCATGCCCAAGACACCGTGCCAGTTTTAACTAAAGCAGAAACCCGTGTCCTGAGTGCAGGACACACATTTCTGGGCAGTATTATTTAATTCAGGTGCATATATGTTTGCAGAGCTTTTACTACGAAACCCTCTCCAGATCACTGGAACAAGCTTCTGGAAACACCACGACAGCTCTGGGATGAAGAATCTGCTCTGACTCAGAGGAAAGAGGCTGTGATTCTCTCATACCTCACCACAGGAGGGCCCCACCATCTAGAAACACTTGTGTGCCAGTACTCTTCTCAGATTCCTAAAAATGTGCCTTTCAACATCTAGCGTCGCGTCGGGAAGTGGTCTTGTTCCAAAGCAGAATTTTGTGAATGAGTACCCAACCTTCCAGTCTCTCCTCTGCGCTGCTCCCCGTGCAACACTACAGAGGATGCAGGGAAACTCCAAACGACCTCCGTTTTGAATGACCACATGGACCTTTGGGTTCAAGCCCCAGAGCAGAGCGGTTTCGCAGAAAGGTTTCGCAGAACTATATTAAATATTAAAAACGATAAAACAGAAAAATGACCCATCACCAACAGGCGCAGGCTTCGCCCTGCTTGAGCTGCCCTTAATGCCAGGCGCCACCCAGCTAAAAAGATGACAGAACAGCAGAAGAAAGTCAGCAGAGATGGTGGGGGGTGGGGTGGGATGGGTAGGATGGCTGCAGCTTAAAACACAAACTAGAGTTTGGAAATCCACAGAACATCCGACAGGTGAAAATCCCCCCCGGCACATTTCTCCATACTTTAAAAAAAGGCCCTTTTAACAGTAAACATTACAGATGTGTTGTGATTAATGCCCTGCTGTGGTTAGTGGAGGCCCGGAGTCTAGTAGGTGAAGCGCTGAGCTTGCCGGTAACCCAGCTTGTCCAGGCTAGGGTTGCAGGCGAACTGGATCATGGGCGGCGGGCCGCATATCAGCACCAGGGTGTCGTCGCTGGGAGGGGGGAGGTGCTGCTGGATCATGTCGGCGCTGATAAAGCCCTGGCTGAAGTCCCAGACTGAGAGGAGGGGGAGGAGCAGAGAGACGGGGCTCAGCGGGCGGAGAGACGACCCCTGGTGGCATCAGCGTGCCCTCAGGACACTTCGAGGAAGGATGGGATTTGAATGGAACGAGTACAGTGATTAAGCCCTTGTTGCTTACTGTTTATACCAGTGACCTTCACGGCATAAGATTACAATTCCTGAAAGTCCCTGGTGACTGCAGAAGGGAGCACATACCCCGTTTCTGCAAATTGTCTGTGCATGTGAAGATATCAGTGGGCTATGTTTCCTGCCACTGCCTCCCTCCATGAAAACATGTGCGGAATATTGTTAAAATGTAAAGTGTAAACTAAACGTGTAAAACCAGTGCGAGCACTTACAATACTGTATTAAAATGGCAAGACTGAAGAAATGAACTTGACAAAATCCACAGCTGACTGTACTGGTGTGCTGTGATTGGTTGGGTCATCAAGTTATCTTGCAGGATCTAGTGCCACAGTGGTACTGTGATGCCGAGCTCTAAAAAAGCATATACAATCAAAGGCTAAGCGCACAGATCCTGATGCTGCTTATGACAGGATTCTAGTGAACAAGATCTTGCATCTTATGTCCTCAATGTTTTATTTTTTTGCAGTGCCCTATTATGGTAAAATGACTGACCCTCACGGTTCAGACCAGCAATGCTCGTGAGCGGTTTGCCTGCCCACATCGGGTGTAGGAACACTAGATCAGTTTGCTCCGGGATGTAGAATCAATATTGATCTCAGCAAATGTGGGGCACTTCATTTACCTGTTGCAACTTTACAATCCCATCTTATCTCAAAGCTTCTTGAGAATTGCAGGCCATACTCTCACTGTTTCAGAGTGCTGCCCTGCTGTCTTTTTGTTCAAATGATGGGACAGCAATGTCAGGAGTGAACAGCAGAGGGAGCTGTAGGCCTCTGAGACAGTAAGAGATATTAGCTGCTCTGCCAGCAGAGTATTATTAATTAGGAACAATACCGGAAAGTAACACCTGTTGTAATGCACACTAAATCACAAATGATCCTGAAACAAACACAAACAGGAAAAATACATAACAGCAAATTGTGATCATTTCCAATATCACCAACATTATCAGTGTGGGAAAATTATGTTAATTACTCATTATTTAGTATTGAATAGTGCATTGTAAAACATCAGTCATGGTCTCTGAGCCACACTCCAAACACTGACCCGCTGCCCTGCCTACCTTCAGGAGCCCTGTCCACAGTGAACCAGAGCTTGAAGCGCTCTGGGTGTCGGACCTGGATCTCCTCCAGCTCGTCCTGAAGCAGAATGTCCTTCTCCGTCTGCCGGTCAGACACACAACCAGTTAGACGCCATCGAGAAGTGCCCCAGTGCCCCATGCTGCCCCCTGCAGTGCTCTGGAGGCTACTGACAGGAAGCTGCTGTTCTACTGCAAATCCCACAGCTCCCCCTCCCCCCCCAAAAAACTGACAATATCCCTCACACCCCCTCCACAAATCTAACAGCTTGTGCTCAAGCATGCAGTACAGATAATCGGTGACTCCAATCTGCAATTATTAACAGTCTCAGTGGGGGGTTTTAATACATGAGCCAGGTGAGCTACACCTTCACTAAGGTTGGGTCCTCCTCCTTGCTGACCATTTCAATGTCTCCCTCAGACCTGTTTGCAGAATGTGACACGGCACCACTAGGAGCACACTTGTACGGCAGTCTGAGACACGTCTGAATGCTCAGGGCAAACCCCTCCTCATTGCTTTGTCAGCTCCAGCGAGCTTGAGAGCTGCTGACACCTGCCAAATGGCCAGTCGAAATCTCTAAGTGCTGGCAATGGGGGTGTTGGCTTCCACTGAGCACTGCCTGGCTCAGCAGGAGCCCGTGCCTCTGCACAGTGTCGAGACAGCCCTGGGGCTGCAGGAGGGGGGGGTCTCTATGGAAGCCAGTGGGTGCTGCCATGGAGGAGTGGGCGGAGATGTGCATTAAAGCGGGGTACGGTGTACGGGGGGGACAGGGGGTGCTGACCTGGTTGGCGAAGAGCAGGTGGCAGACAGTTTTGTCAGTGGGGTCCTTCATGATGGCCCGGATCAACTGCAACATCGGGGTGATTCCTGCACAGAGAAAAAAAAACGGAGAGCAATCTGAGAGAACAGCTTACTGCTACACGGTACTTCATGCAGACTGCAAGCACACACAGAACACCGACAAAGACAGAGACCAAAGGGGTCAGAGGGCAAAGTTCACCTGCTGCTGAACGGTGCTCCCCAGAATGCATTACATACTGCCCCACTACCAAACCCTGTGAACACTAAGCGCACATACACATATTACAGGCTGTTAAGTTACTATTTACTCACCTACACCAGGTGTTCCCCAACCCTGGTCTTGGATACCCAGACACCTGCCAGTTTGTTTTCCAGCCAAGTTGTGAGTTATGCCATTGATTTTGGAATTGATTAAATAGCAGGATTAATCTGAATGTTTTCAGATTGTAAACCTATGAGAGGGAGCCTTTTAACTATTGAATTTCTTAATTAAAAACAAATCCCAAAGTGCAGTTGAAAAAGTACTTCCAAATGTTGAAATCAACTGGCTTATTCATTCAATTAGGTAATTGAGCTCTGCTGAAATGAAAACCAACTCCAGGACAAGGACTGGGAACCCCTGACCTCCACAATCATCCTTTCATGATTAATTCAAGTTTATATTACATCAACCTAATTAAAAACAACAAAGATCCACGTTTTTTCTGAAGTATATTTGAAAGCCATGAGCTTCATGTAACTGTATAAGAAAAATAAGAAAATCTGTGATATCCAGATCAGAACGACGGGACTCCTTAAAACATACCGCACCACAAAACCGGACATCTGAACAGAACACAGCATTTACACCCAGGGCTATAAAGTTTCTAACAAAGTTTCCAAAAACATAGTTTCAAGAACCTGCCTATTTTGAAAGCTTTCCAGGATTTGTACCCTGTAAATGAATCTGATCTGTAATATGTCATATTTTTACACAGGAGCTGTTGACAGCTGGATTGATCACGTTGTCAGGCACGCTGGTACAGTACCTGTGCCCCCGGCAATCAGCCCCACAGCGCTGGCGTTCTTGATATCTGGTTGGGACTTCTTATCTGGCTGCACTGCAAACTGACCTGTGAAGTGAACAATGGGGAGATTTGTGAGCCACAGGGACTGTGCTCATCAGTAAAAGCCAGAAAGAATCCCTGTGTGTAACACAACCCCCCCCCAGAGGCAAACACTCCCACTGCTTTTCCAGAACTCTCATTTTAACGGCTGGAGTCTGGAATTGTAGCCTACAATGTTTATTTTTATATAAACAGGATCCAAGAGGGTGGTAGCTTTTAAAATATTTGTTTTTGCAGTAAGTCAGCGTAGTCTATAAACTTTCAATCAAGATGTGGGCAGTAGACGTCTTCTAACACAAATGTATTTTTTTTTCGCACTGCACCTTCACAAGCAGTAACTATACGTGTGTTTAGGAATTATTTTTAGAAGGCAGGCATAAAAAAAAAAAAAAAAAACTTGGGCTTAACCTGCTTGGCTAAGGATCAAACCCTGTAAGTGGAGGCCGGGACCCTTGTACAGAGTGAGAAGTTAACCAGGGGCAGCTGTACAGGTGGAGATGGAGTGAAGGAGGGATCCAAAAAGACAATGGAAAGAAGAGAGAAGGGCTTCCTGTGGTCTTTATAGCTTTACAGGAAGTGATGCCACAGAGGATTAGGAGCTAGAGCAGTTGAAGTGAAGAATAACTCGGTTGCTGACATCCCTCCTGAACATTCATTAAAAACTCCATTTAAAAGTCATGGGTGACAAAATAAACAGGAAATATGAAGAGCCTGAAATTACTTACAAGGTAGTTATAAAGTCTTGCACTCACCTCTGAGAAGAATGCTTTAGATTATGCTCGCTAAATGAGGTTATAATATATATTCTACTAAAAATCAATTAGGGATAAACTGTGGAATGATAATGATAATGTATCAACTGATGCTTTCTGTAGTGATGAGGCTAGGGACAAGATGAATACTACTGCACTATAATTTGCCAGAACCTCCATTTTTTCACCGGTGATTAACAGAATATCTATGGATTTATAAGTGACAGTAGTTATCTCCACCCACCCACCAGCAGTACAGAGAGCAGTACTCTCTGTCCTGCTGGATCACAAGCTCTTGATCACAGCTATGAACTCTGTGAGCGCTTCTCAGAGATGACTGATAAACACCGCACCTCACACACACCAGAAAGAGGTCCACTGTGGGCGTAATGACCCCATGGGGGTCTTGTGTGTTTCCTCACAGACAGGGGGTGTACTGAGAGGGAGATATTGAGGTCTCAGTACCGTGGCCCTGGTATTCCAGCAGGCCCCCTGGCCCTCTGAAGTCCACCACGTCTCTGATCTGCAGACTCTCCAGGTACTGAGACATCTTGCCTCCTTCCGGGAACTTGGGGTTGACATTCTTGAAGTAGATCTGTGGAGGACAGGGGCCTGATCAAAAGAGCGCCGTGACGTTTTCACAGGAGCTCTGCTTCAGCTGCCACAGCCGCGGAGTTGGCCGTCGGACTTCGGGAAGGGGCGGGTGAGCAGCTGGCGCCCCCCGTTAGAGGTGCGGTCCGTACCTTCACCACCAGGTCCACAAAGCCCTTGTCATCATCGCTGGACACGGGGGTGTAAGGACGCACCACCAGGTTGCCATCAATTCGAGCGGATAGATACACATGCTTCCCTGGAAGAGGCAACAGCACACCGTCACATAGCGCACGATATGCCGGACTGTTGAGGAACACGAAGCAAAGACAATGGCAGCTCATGCTACACGAGTAGGCACTAGAGGATACATGCAAATCACACCAAGCTCATATAGGCGTCACGTCTCTATGCCACCTAGTGTGCCCCGTCTTTGTGGTGTTAGTGCCCTGTGGCATTCTGGTACTCTCCTTTTTATGCGTGTACCATATTTCATTACTGCATCCACAATACTCTCACAAGTGCCCTGTGTATGTAGAGTATGTATTTAGTGAATATACGTGAAGCTCCAGAGCTACGTCATCAAGCCCCGTTTTGCTTCAGACCCTTAGGGCCTCTCTCTGAAACAGGGCCACGAGGCGCCTGAAGGGCGTACCGACGGGGAGGCCCAGGATGTGGTCCGGCGTGGGGAGGGCGAAGCGGAACTTCCTGGTGTCGTGACTGATCACCTGCGGAGAAAAGCCACAGTGAGGGGAGCCGCAGCACAGACACCTGGGAAAACAAACACGGACCGTCGCACTGAGCCCGCTGCGCTCTTCCCCCATGGCAGCACCAAACTCCCAGCGAACCAAACACCAGTCCCCTCAAGCAGATTTCCTGAAAATGCACCCCTGTGGGAATACAGTACTTTGGATGCAATGGAATTGAATTATTGAATTAAAAAGTTTAAACTGCCGGGAGGGAACGTTAAGTCATGGTCTCCAAAGACCATGCGACATTGTCTCACCTTCGTGGTGCTGTTTTACTGTTGAGAAACACAGTCATGTCAGTTTGTCGAGTGTGCCGAGTTAGTTGGGTGCCCTGCCCTGACTCTAATACGTAACGACAGGCCAACAGCCTTCAAAACACCATGTGCCATTATTTCCCAGTCCTCCATGTCGGTTTCCTGTAAGTCAGGGTTGAAGACATCTGTACGGGCTAATACCTCTTTGTCAATGAGCCTCAGCTGGTACTTGACGTTGGGGTCAAGCAGGGTCACCGGCGCCTTCTTCTTCCTGCCCAGCAGGTAGCTGCCCACGAAGTAGCCCACTGTGGAGAGGACGGCCACCCCCACTGCCACCAGCACCCCTGTGGTCTGGACAAAGAGAGAGAGAAGTGGAGGCAGAAATACAGAGACTGGAGTGAAAACGTTTGCGCTGGAGCCATGAGCGTAACACAAGCAAGAACAGAGCTCATATTACCTACTATTAATAAAACAGATTACATTGTATTGTTCAGGTTTTGCCAGCTGAAGGCTCCATCTGTCTAGAAGGCAACAGTTGGTCCTGGATTTTTCCAGAGTTGTTACTTTGTTCCAAGTAAAGTAAAATTGTATGAACAGATATGAAGCTAAAATCCAACTAAATACCAACAGTATGCTCATATACTTCAGCAGTGTAATTTTGACAAATAAATGACTACACTGCTGTCCGGGAGGAGAGTGGATTCTAGTATTGTTACCAAGGTACCAAAGAACACACAAAGTCCATGTTGGAGAGACAGACGATTCAGTATAGTAGGGTCTGGACATCTGCAAATTAAACATTCAGGAATTCGTTTATTGGTGATTTGGGTTGGCCGAAGGGGTCTTGGAAGAAAAGCAGAAGAGGATGAAATTGAGCCAAAGGTTGTCAAGCACAACTAGTGAGTGAGTCTCTCCCTGCCCCCTGCCCAGGTACCTATTACCCAGCATCTGTGGTCTTGTGTTTGTACTGTAACGATTGCCCCTGTTCTCTGTCCACAGTGATGGTAATGATTTTAGCTGATTACTATAGGTTTGTGATTACTGTTGTTTGTTTTAGTTAACCAGGGTCATTTTAATTAACTTATACCAATACATCCATCCATTTTTAAACTGCTTAATCCAATCCAGGCAAGGGAGCTGGAGCCTATCTCTGGAACTAATGGGTACAAGGCAGGATAGACCCTGGAAGGAATGACAGTCCGTCACAGGACACACGCAGACACAAACACTGACACGCACATACTAAAGAAGGCTGCACGCCCAAAACGTTGTGTTTCCTTTCTTCTCTTTTCAGCATGGAATAAACCTTTTACTTCTTCCTTTGCAGCTTACGCATGCTGATGCAGCTGCCTACTTGAACTACTCACACACAAGCCAATTAACCCACCAGTATATCTTTGGACTGTGGGGGGAAATCGAAGCACCTGGAGGAAACCCTTTCAAACACTGGGGGGAACATACAAACTCTCTGCAGATAGCTCACCAGGAATTGATCTTAGGGCTCTAGTACTGCAGGGCACTAATGCTAACCACTGCACCATCGTGCCACCACAAATGCACTCAAAGCCATTAAAATAAAGAGAAAACTGGACGTTTTGGGTGGTTCTGAGAAGGCAACACTACAGGAACGCAGGATAACCTTTCAAACGAAGTACTGTGTTGTTAAACGTCACTTCTTATATACTTCACATCTGGTAAACTCAGGGGAGCACCCCAGCTTTAGCCTGGAAACACACGAAAGAGCAGGTAGTGGTCAAACAAGCCAGAAACACTTACAGCTTGCGAGTGTAACTTTGGACCACGAAAGAAGCCCCACTTGGCTTCTGAACCATGACCAGATGGTTGTGCTTCACCTTGAAGTGTGATTGCCAAAATCCCGCTGTTGAGCCTCAGTCTTGAGCAGCCAGGAGGCCGTAAACAGACTCGCTCAGCAGCTATATATGGTCATTTTGCAGGGCGGCGAGCTGTGAGCTTCAAGGGTGACTCACTGGCTCTGTCGCAGCTCTATTTCTGTTTCTCGTGTGAGGACAGGCTGCTCAGTTCACTGCAGCTCTCTGCTTCTCTACAGCGCTCGTGCACAGTGTCTTTCCGTTCTGTCTAGAACCCATACACAGCACAAGTAACGGCTCTGGCAGAGGCAAAAAGCATGCCACACAACACCACGCACAGAACAGAGCTGACAAACATTTGGTCTGGCCGAAGGGGTTCCTGGAAGAAGAGCAGAAGGGGATGAAATCGAGCCAAAGGTTGTGAAGCACAACTAGGGACTGAGTCTCTTCCTGCACCCTTCATCACAGTATCTCATAACTTGGTCTTGTGCATCGGTGGCGTGGTGGCTCTATGGCTAAGGATCTGCGCCTGTGGCTGGAAGGTTGCCGGTTCGTATCCTGCGGTTGGCAGAGGAATCCTACTCTGTTGGGCCCCTGAGCAAGGCCCTTAACCCCAACTGCTCCAGGGGCACTGTATAAATGGCTGACCCTGTGCTCTAACCCCAAGCTTCTCTCTGTCTGTGTGTCTCATGAAGAGCAAGCTGGGGTATGTGAAAAGACAAATTCCTAAGACAATAATCTGTATACGGCTAAAAAAGTGATCTTATCTTATCTTTGCAGAGCCTGATGCAGATGATCAGGCATGTTTTGGGTACAGGGGTGTCACTGTTAAAGCAATGCATTAGTGCTGGTGTACAGCTCCACCTATGGAACTGTGGACTCCTTAAAAACACGCACAGAAAAATTCCACATCTCCAAACTCTTGTCCTTCTTGAAAAGGTCTGTTCTTTTCAAGAAAAAAAAGCAGGCTGCACAGCCTAAAATTGGATCAATGCACAACTCTGTACAGTAAAGCTTCGTGAAGGTGGGTCTCAAGGGCTGCAGCAGGATTCCTTTATCTTGGTAACAGACACTGAGTGTCAAAAAGGCTCTCACAGAGTCTCAGGAACTAGCCTGTTCCTTTAAATCACAGTCTCAAAATCAAGTAATGGAAGACCCAAAAAAGAAAAGGCACTGAGCCCTTTGAAACCCCTGCTAAACATCCAGTAAAGACTTATAAGCTTTATGCAAAAATCCAGGAGAAGAAATGTATCCCAGACTTTATGTCTACCACTCAGCAGAGACACCACACCCAGCTACAATGAGCAAACACACAGCCCACAGCACCCTGTCGCCCAGGCAGGAGCTTGGCTCCCTTTGAGGACCACACCCAGCGTCCCTGCACGTGCAGAATCTCACGTGGGTGGGCTGCACTACGCCGACACAAGCAGTAATTCTTTCTCTAAAGGTGCTTCCCTTGATATGCCAGCATATTGCTTTATAGGAAGAGGAAACGCATGGCTTTGTCTCCAACTGTACTTGCTTCTCAATAACAAATTCGCCAGTTTCTGTTCTGACTTGCACAGTAGTTTCGAACGCTTTCATTGAACTGCTTGTTTAAACCTGGAGGATGTCTTGCATATGGCACTCACAAAAAAGAGAAGCTGGTGGAAAACTGTGCGGCATCATTTCCCTTATTTCAGGACAGACTGGATTTGCACTCGATGCAGATGAGACTGCAGCCAGTTCCCCAGACAGAATCGGTAAAGCTCGTTTGAATGGTGCTGCGTAACGGCTTCGTAATCCCTTCACAACTGTAGCACAAGGCGTTACAATCACATGCTCTATAGGACCGCAAACGACATAGCAAAGCAGAAGGGGTCATGAATGTCTGAGGATTGTTTTCTAGTGCTAGGTACAATGACGATGCTAAATCAAATGTCATGAGCTCTTGTGCGCGTTATGTCATGTGCAAACATCCTGATCCGTCTGAGGACGTGGTGCATGCTTGTAGTGCATGTAAAAATAAAACAAAGCTGCACTGAGCTACCGATAGAGACACTAAGGTTAAATCTGGACTCCAGGGAACTGACATCCAAATATCTTGTCCTAAGGAACACTGGAAGCTGTTAAAAGGGGGCAGAGAGCAGCTACTATCTGTGGCAAGACTTTTCCAACCATGAATGCAGTCCACTGTTAAATCCATGAGGACCTGAGTTCTCTTGATTGATCAGATTACTTGTTTGAGTCATCAATACCTTGCTGACTGACCAATAACAGGTGACTGACTGGTATATATCTAAAAGGAAAATACTTGATGACAAAAGAGAACCAATTCCTCAGGAAATAACTGCCCAAGTATTATTTTTTTAGTTTTTGAATGCACTAAGACAATGTGTTGTGTCTTGGAAGACATGAGCCGGTTGTTGCAATAACATTATAGTTTTTATGGGTTAACACTGTTATTACAACATCCTGAGCCAGGATTAGAAACAATGCAGGGAAAGGTTCCTTTTCTTATGTATTAAACAATTACAGTAGCCTGTTGTACACACATTTCCTCACTAACTGACTTTGTCAGCGTTCAGTGCTAATGTGAAGATTCTCTGCAAGGTGCGTTTAAGAAAATACACACAACTTGTTTTAAAAAAAAACACAAAACAGCACAGCTATTTTTTTTAATGGTGACATGCTCTCTCTGTCCTTCAGAGGTCAACTCTGAAGGTGAAGATCTTCTTTAATCTTAAAAAGTCATTAGACCCGTGTCTTTACCTCTTTAAAATCATCCTTATCAAAACGAATGTATCCCAGACAGGGATAATGCAGGGCTGTCGTCAATAGAAAAGTAAAATAAGCAATTTACAAAATTCCAGCAATTGAAAATTAAATTATTAACACTTTTACACAGCAATATGTTTAATTGCATCATATCGCCTGTTCTTTCTAACAAAGCAAAAAGTTTCCTTCACTCGAGTTAATTGGACGCACTGCGCCCGTCTGCGGAAAACGTCTCCGCATAGACATCCGTTTTAATACACGGCAACACTGAAAACACAGGATCCGCCTTAAAGAAAGTTAAAGAGGAATCCAACACCGTGCATGTACATTTCAGAAAAAAACCGCCCTGAGAGTGTATGCACATCCATTAATTATATTAGCGCCCCCCCAAAAAAAAAAAAAAAACAACAACAACAACAACAACAACAACTCACTGTATCATTTGTGTGCATTTGTGGGCGTTATCTAGACATGCAATTCGCAAAAAGCTTAGCAACAACAAGTCAAAAAATAAAAATATATTCGTTACTGTGGGGCACATTTACTTTAGAAAACGCGATTAAGCACAAGAATAGCTACGTCTCCGAACACTTAAAAAAAGACATAAACCTCCACGGAGCAGTTCAAGGCGGACTGGAAAACCGAGCTCATGATGTCACAAAAATCTCCACCGTAGAAAAAACGCACACAATTCGCAAAAACTACAATTTTCAGCCGCCCTGCGTTGCAACCTGTGTTGCAGAAGATGAAACTCCGTTTATCGCCTACAGTTTCACGCATCCCCCCCATATTACGCAAGAACTGAGACATCGGGGTTAGTCATGTATCCCTGACAAGGCTGTGATTGCCCCGCTGGTTGAAGATCTTCAATTAACTCGTTACAAGCGTTGAGAAAAAAGATCTCTTACCACGCTGTATCCCATCGTTACTCCGTGAATCCTGGATCAACGTCTGTCCGGCACCGCCCGGGTACTGAGACTAAGTGACTCAGCTGTCAAACCCCTAGCATTCCCACACAGCCCGCCTTGATCCCACAATCCAGCGAGATGACGCGCTGTTCCTGGTGGAAAACAGGCAAAGCGCCACAGGCCGATCTCACAGCGCCGCGCTGAGATCGATCCGGGTACTGCCACGATAAACCAAAAATACAGTTGGCATTGTTTTTTCAGTACCTCGCTCAAAACATTGACATGAGCCTAAAACACTTTCAAGCTTTAATATTACCCTATAGGAGACTTTTTTTTTGCAGCAGAGTTCAACCCAGCAATACTACAAACACAAACATCACCAAGTTATATATTCATATTAATAATAACAATTCCTTACACTTATATAGCACTTTTCTGGACAGTCCACTCAAAGTGCTTTACAGGTAATGGGGACTCCCCTCCACCACCACCAATGTGCAACATCCACCTGGATGATGCAACAGCAGCCACAGTTTGCAAGTCTCCTCACCACACACATCAGCTATCAGTGGGGAGAACAGAGTAATGAAGCCAGTTCAGAGACTAGGATTATTAGGAAGCCATGATTGGTAAAGACCAATGGAAAATGTGGCCAGGACACCAGGGAAACACAGTACTCTTTTGGAGAAACACCCTGGGATTTTTAATGACCACAGAGAGTCAGGACCTCAGTTTTACGTCTCATCTGAAGGATGGTGCCTTTTTACGGAACAGTCTCCCCGTCACTATACTGGGGCATTGGGACCCAACTAGACGGCAGGGTGAGCGCCACCTACTGGTAACACTAACACCTCTTCCAGCAGCAACTCTAGCTTTCCCAGGAGGTCTCCCATCAGGTACTGACCAGGCTCACACCTGCTGAGCTTCAGCGGGCTGCCAGGTGTTGCAGAGTGATATAGCTGCTGGCCCTTATGTCTGGGCAAACAGTGTGTTCTTCAATCCCTGCTTACTGTTTCCTGCCTCACTGCATTTTAAAATTTGGATGAGGAGGAGGAAACAGACACAGGAGAAAGACAAACACGCCTGCTCTGACACAGACCTGGCCCTATATGCAAGATGTGTTGTCACTCTGTGACATGCCCAGAAGACGCTAAAGGAAAACGCAATCTACACACTTCAGGAGAATAAACAAAGCTCCTCCTCCACTGCTCAGTTGGGACAATTAATACCCAGATATTTAATATATGTTTTGTTTTTAGAAGGTTTCTGTTTTGGACAGTGTTTCTGTTAAGAGTTTAAAGTGGTCATTAACGATCCTTCAAGATGTTTCAGCTTAGTCTGAATGTGATGCCGTGTGACCTGTTACATCTTAAGAAATAAAAACACAGAAAGGATCTTAGTCTCTCATGAGATGGCATCATGCCTGTCCCTGAAGTCTGTGCACAAGACCAACCACCCTTCTACATCATGGCAATTCTGTGACTGATTGAAAGACATCACAGTCAAGAAAACAGGCAAGGGAGGAATTAAAAATATGTGTTTTATTTTATGCTAAAGAAATTACATACACCCCTTTGAGCACTTAGACTGGCCTCATAAGCATAATTACTGGAATTTATAGAGGTATAATACAGAGCTTCTCAACAAAGCAAAGATAGCCAGCCAATTAGAGGCAAGGCTTCTCACATCAACCAATCAGAGGCAATACTTTTCTCATCAGCCAATCAGAGGGAATCTATCTCTCATCAACCAATCAGAGGCAAACCTTCTCCTGACAGATGACCAGACCTTAAGAGCTCCTACAATAGCACATATGCAGAGAATTCTTATTTTTAGGAACTGATTAGTTCGGGGGTTTGGAGATCCATGCTCAGTCATATATGATTAAAGATATAGCTCAGTCATATATAGGTTATCCATCATGGTATAAAGTATAAAGCATACTAATACTTTGTGTGAGTTGGAGTAGGGAGCTGTGCTGCTGTAGGTATGACAAAAGAATAAGGAGAAGTTATTTCCACGCTTGAGCAGAAAAAATGCATAGCTGAAATCTTCTGTTTTGTCTTCTTTCTACACTTCTATTATCAGTGTAGAATGAATCTCTGCTTGTTCATCGGTATGTGCGTTTACAATGTTCCCTATAGCTCTGTTCACAACATCAGCGTGCTTGATAGTTTAAAAGATTTCAGTTTTGATTTAGAGCTACTGTTATTTGCTACGTAATTGTCTTCTCAAATGCTTGTATAAATGCACGGAGCAATTATAAGAATTTATAAACAAATGTCATTAAAATCCTTCCAGCATACATTTGTATTGGGATGTTGCCACTTCATTGAAAAGGGCGAAGAATGTTTCGGTATCAGGGAAGGCAAGACTGGCTTCCCTTGCGCCTGTGTCGTCACCTGTAGGAGTGTGTGTCCACAGTGCAGGCCCAGCTCAGTGGGCTGTCACCAGAAAGTAAACCTCACTGTCCTTGGGTGTGTCCACAGGCAGCTGTGCGAGGGAGTAGAGTCCCTGGCTGTCCTCCTCCTGATGGTACGACCCGCTGTAGTACACTGAGGACAGGGGCTTGATCCCAGCGGCCGTGCCAACATTCGCATATTCAGCATCCTAAGTAAGACAGGGGTAAACTGAATCAATCGATAACGGTCAAAATTTGCAGCGTCTTGTTAGGGTTCAGCTCAGTCGCTGTAACAGTGAATGGCTGTTGTACGGTAAATGAACGTTACCTGTGCAGCGTCTGTGAAAGTTCTCCTGGTTAGATGGTCCTTGGCTGAAAAAAAGCCCACATTCAGTAGGTCATATAATAATAATTACAGCAACAAAGTGGGCGAAGAGAGCAAATTATACAAATCAGCTTTTGTGTAAAACTGTACAGTAGCATTATATTGATGTATTACAGTGTCCTTAGTTATCAGGCTATCCTTCAGAACAATGCACAAGGCCACTTGTTCCACTGCTGGCATACCAGGGCAAGGTGTCGTAAGACCATTTGAACAGGCAGGTCTCAGTGAAACAGATGCACAGGGTTCCTATATGTGCAGTGTGAACCAAACCTAAACTCCTCTTTAAGCTTTGAGCTACACTTTATTTTTACAAAATCCCTCTCTAATAATAGATTGGCAACTAAACTGCCAGCTTCAAAATCCCCAAATCACTTTTCCGAAAACTAAAACCCTCTTTCATTCATAAGTTTGGCTCTTCCCAAGGATTCACAGAACCATATCAGGAAGAATTTCCATCTTGCGTCCTCCTACCTCTTTTTTACATGCTGTTACTCCTGGGAAGTCTCACATGACAAGCACACAGAAATCAAAATCTAAAATGATGCTGTATGCACAAGCCCTCTCTAGAACATTGTTACCTATCATAGCTAGAATGTGCTCTAAGGAACAGAGTTAGAGTTTGGGGCTTTTTCTTCTGCTTTATTTTCTGGCCACTAGTGGCAATACTTTGTTCAACATGAAAACTGCTATCTCTGCTTACACTTATGTAGGCCTCGAGGAGGAGTTACACTTTCCGACGAGTTACCAGCCAATCAAGCAACTTGTAGCATTGTCAGTATAATCCTGCGTTAGTAAAACTGTTAACTCAAAAGCCACTGATTTTTACAGTGTGATTTGTTTCACACTGTTATTCATTAACAGTGTTTATCCTCTGTTAACATAATTATATCCAACCTAGTAGATGGTAGGGGAAAAAATACCCCTCTTAAATGGGATACTAATATGCCAGCACAATGTCTTTCCTGGATGCAGATTTTATGCCACTGTAGCTATATGTAAATCCATATGAACTCCTAAACTACAACATATTACAAAAATATTTCACATTTATTAACAACCGTGTGCTGCCAGTGTAGAGTGAAATGAGAAATTAGAGTAATTTAAGGAGAATGGTCATTAAAAATTGACCTGGTCAGAGCCCTGACCTGGATCCCAAAGAACACACCTGGGATCAACTGCAGCTTTTCAGGAAAAGAACGCAGAATCCAACTGGGCTACAAATTACAATCCAGGAGGCACAATATTCCTCTCCAAAGTGTTGTGGAATCTTTATCAGAGGAGAGCCAGGAAAGGTGTTCTCATTCACTCAGTAAGGCATTTATTCATATTGTGCAATAGGGAAAGACAGCAACCACCGGTCTGTGCAGCAAGTGGGAGCTGATTTCCAAAGTAAAATAGAGAAAAGTCCCTTATTTTATACACTTAGCTGATGCAGCACCTCAACTTGTTTACTTCATTATGGTTGGTTAGTAATACAAAGACAGGCAAGACAGTAATTTTCCAGTCCTTAGAGGTCTTAGGCTTGAAGGACAGAGAAGACAGCTACGTGCAGTTTTGTATCTGCCTTTTTTGCTGCGGCAGAGATAAACATATTCTGAGAACATCCCATGCCCTTGACTTGCTGGGTACAATCACACTTTGTTCAAAGAATCCAGCTGCTTTTACAACAAAGCTCTGCTCGTAAACAATATTTTTAGGATAAAACACTTTTCTTCAGTAACTTTCCATTACAAAAGCTAAAGGATGGTCCTATTCCATTAAATACATTGTCATTAATTGTCTTTCATGAAAGTTCCTAGTAGCTTCGGTGAACAAGTGTATGCACGGTACAGTTGTTAGACAGTTCCACGTTGCACATTCAGGCATTTACAATTACTTTCACTGTACAGCTAGCTGCCACTGCAGCTCCTGCTGCACAGGTATAGTCATCAGCATCAGCACGTGTCCCATCAGGCCATTGACAGCTTCACTGCAGCAGCTCATAGTCACAGAGGAGGGGTCAGTCACAGGTTACTGAGTCTGGAGAGAGCAGCTCTGCTGCAGCTCTGTCCAGCACAGCCCGGCCCTGGGCAACAGTGCTCTGCTGAGCTTCACTGATGGGCCAGCTGGAGGAGACTTACCCAGGGAGCGTTTGGGTCTCCTCTGTGTGAAGAGAATGACAGCTGCCACCAGGAGCCCACAGGCTATCACTGAGAGGACTGCCCCAGTCACAATGTGGGTGTCTACTGCAAAACACACACAGTGCTCATAAATCGCATGCCTTTCAATAATGTGATTGCTGTTATCATGCTCAACATACTCAACACTCAAAACTCAACACTATAGAATATTTTTAGAAATGCATATAGGCTATATTAAAAAGTGTCCTTGTCTCTGATTATCAGCCTTTATGAAAATGAACTTTTCAGAATAAACCAGTGCCATTCCTGCTTGCAGCTGTTTTTCATGCAGTTAGAAAACGGTTTTTTTTATTTTGTTTTGTTTTTTATTTTTACTGTTCTAGCACACCAGGACTAAAATTATCTCTTGAAATAAGGAAGTGAAGTGGAAACTGGAAGGCACTTAAAGCTGAAGGGGGAACAAAGGTTACAGGACAGACTATTTGTGGCTTCCCCTGGCAGCACGTAAGGTACCACAGTGGCAGAAAATGTCAAAGAGCACCGCACTCCCAATCCAAACACAACCTTCAAGTAAGAGCTGCACACAACCTGGGCTTCCACTATCAGCTCTTGCAGCCGTTGTGTCACAGTCTGTAAAACAGAAGGAATGCCTAAATTCGTACGATTTACAGGAGGGGATGCCTTGTAAGGATATCACAAGGCTGCTTTCCTAATATGACATGAAATTAAATAAGCCGTTTTAAAATAACCTGGCACAGAGGATGTGGACTGCTGCTGCTTTGCAAAACTTTAGCTGTTTGCCACAGAATTTAGCGGCTTAGAGGAAAAAGCCCTTCTGTTATGCAATCTGTGCAAACTGGTTTGCCGGGGGATCTCCAGCCACCCACAAATCACTTCATGACAGCAGTTAGCAAAGCAGGAGCAGGATTTGTAAACTTTCTTTTATGATCTTTGACTGTTGAGGACGAAAGACTGGAATAAAGAATTGCTTCATCACACCGAGCTTGGTGTGCATTCGTGGTTGTGATGTCTTGGACAATCTTAAAGAAAGAACCATGTGGGGTTCGCATTCTTTGGCTTAATAAGAGTGGAGATCTGATCAGCATGGTTGTGTTATTTTCCACAGCATTTGTCTGTAGCTAGAAAATGTCATGTTACACATTGTCTGTTATAGAAGGCATGGCTGTTTCCTTTGTTGTGTGCCACGGATTTACGTTATTTATTTTTTGGGCCTTTTATTTGTGTGGATGTGTAGAGGGAAGCAAATGATGTTAGTGATGAGAGACACTTGCCGATGAGTCAATTAGATTTGATGGATGATTGTAATGGATGAGCTACTACAGCACTTCATCTTGCATGCTTCTGTATAGTGTTGTTGTGATCAAGTTTTATATAGTTGAATAGTGTTGGTGTGATGAAGTTGTGTGTAGATGTATAGTGTTGTTGTGATCAAGTTTTGTGTAGTTGTATAGTGTTGGTGTGATCAAATTTTATATAGTTGAATAGTGTTGGTGTGATGAAGTTGTGTGTAGTTGTATAGTGTTGTTGTGATCAAGTTTTTGAAAATTCTGATCAATGTGAATTAATTCAGGTGGGTAGCTGCGTCAGCATGCGTAGGCTGCAAAGGAATGCTGAAAAGAGAAGAAAGAAGACACAACGTTTCGGCCGTGGAGCCTTCTTCAGGTGTGAGAAAGACAGGGCAGTAGGCAAAGGTAATGTTGCATAGGAGAACAAAAGCTGGGAGAGAGGAGGAGTGAGAGGCGGGAGCAGGGGACAGACAGAGAGGCCAATCAAGAGGGGTGAAGTCAGAATAGGTGCAGAGAGGTGTGAAATGAAACCTACAATGAATAGAGAGAATTTAGAAGAAAAGTAGTCTGTCGTTAAGAGAAGGGGGAAGGTGTGATCCTACAGTAGCTGCAGGATAATTTTGGTTTCTGTAGTCTTTCTGATGTACAGTATGAGTTTGGAAAACCATCTTTGAGAACACTCTGTCTGTGTTCTTTTTTCAATGTGAATTAAAGTTTGTGAACCAAGGTTAGTATTAATAACAGTTGCTGTAATAGTAGAAAACATTAGTAGACACATTGCATTGTGTTGCATTGCATTGTGTTATTACATATATTATTACTCTTAGTAATATCTAAGCCTTTTGAATAGCAGTGTACAGTTTATGATACATATTCTAATAGTAATTAAGAATACTTAGAAGTATGCTTAATATAGACTCTTCTTATCATTCTGTCAAGTGTTCCCACTTAATAATATACTGTATATATAGAATGTTATGGATATATTTTAATAGGCAAAAATATATTTTAATATCCTTCTCAGCTTCTGCAGTCTGAGTGAGTTTGTGTAATGACCTTGAAAAGACATAAGAAAGTGAGAACTGTCTGAACGGAAGAAAGGTGGCTGAAGAGAAGAGGCCATTAGCCCATCTAGCCTGTTTGGTAGTTAGTAGTTAACTGATACAAGAATCCCCAGGGTATCGGCTCAAAGAAAAATCCGTCACAACAAAATACAATGTTTGGAAGATTCCTCCACTCTAAATCGCCACCAGTGAGAGGAACTGACTGTGCAAGCAAACAAGCTCACCTGTGAACTCCCTGCCTCCTGTCTGGGTGTTGTGGACTCCTGGTGGGGTGGCAGTGGCATCCTCTGTAACAGTCCCTGGACTTGAGTGGGACAGCATGGAGACTGTAGGAGCTGAGGAGACAAACAGTACGGAGCTACAGAGCTACAGGCCAGGGAGACTTACCAGGCCAAACTTCTAATTCACTCCTACGGGAAATTCCCATTTCAAAATCCAGCAGGTTGAAATGAATGTTGAAATAACATCCCAGGACATGAGACAATGCAATTGTGAGACTAGTAAAAACAGTAAACAAGGGAATTAAATTATTAATTTCACTTTTAAGTAATTAAGCAATTGTCTGTCAATTCAATATTAATACAACTTAACATGACCCTAAAACAGCCCTGTAGAGCTAAATGAGAGGTGGGATTGATGGAAATGCTTGATCTAGGAAATATGAGAGCAGGACTGCATTAATATTGTCATCACGGACCTGGGCCACAGGGATCAGGACTATATTCCCTTTTATTTATTTTTTTGCTCACACTGTATGGAAGAGAGTAGTAACTTAGGACATGGTGCTGCCAGTGAGGGACACGCCTCTTGTCCAATCAGAGCTGTCCCTCCTGTACCCCGCTGCAGAGCTTGTCGAGTGACATAAGATGAATGACTCAGTGGGAGAACCTGTCTCCTTGAGCCCCTCCTTGTTATGCCATTGTGGATATAAGGAGTTCTGCTTTGCCAAAACTCTTGGTATTTGCCACAGACCTACAGGCCTGGTATACCAGTTAGCCCTTTAGAGGGAAAAACAGCTCCTCTTGGCTATGAGCCAAGATGTAAAGACACAGCTGGAGATTCCAGACTTGGTGGGTTACGGCTACAAACGCCTCAATAAGTGTTTTCAGCTATCAGTTGTGTCACACGTTTACTCCCAACATAAGCTGTGCAAAATAGTTACACCTTTTAAGTAGGACAATGTTTAAACAGGACGACATGAGGAATGGGAAGGCAGCACACCACGAGCAGAGGGAGTTGGATTAACGCCCGTGGTCTTTGTGTGAAACAATTTCTAGTCTACAGTAACCTCCCCAGGTGATGACAGCACAGTAAGTATTAATAATGGACTCACTAGTTTACATCATATCAAACCTGCCCATAATATTGTAAACTGACAAATGTACATCTTTTTATTTCAATTAACAAAATTACATGCTAATTATTGTATGTATTATAAATGTAACTTATATATTCCATATAAATACTGTAAATACAACTATTTCAATGGAACAAGAAATGGGTTTATTCCATGCTGAAAATAGAAGAGAAAAAACACAATGTTTCGGCTGTGAAGCCTTCTTCAGGCTTCAGACCGTTATTAACAACTGGTCCATTTTACAGGGTGGTCCCTCCATCATCTCATCTCATCTCATACCGCTGACCACCCAATCTACGTAAACTTCTGGTTCACAGTTCCCTTGACCGCACTCGGCAATCATCCCCAAGCAAATACATATCTACCAACACGCTCATTCAGGGCCCCTCAGGACAATTCCGGATCACCCAGACAACATCCTGTACCTCCAGCAACCTCATTTACTGTGTCCCCTGAACAAAAAATGCACGTTGGGGAAACCAGAAGGAGACTAGGAGACCGCTTCAGAGAACATGTTAGGGCTGTGAAGATTAAAGATTTCTCCAAGCCCATAGTTTCTTATTTCACCTCAGATGGCCATGATCACACTGATCTCTCTGTCTCTGTTCTCAAAGAAGGGTTTCTCAACTCCCATCGCAGAAAAAAAAACAGAAACAAAACTCACCCTGAAACTATGTTCACACCATCCCCCTTCTCTCAATGACCGACTTATTTTGGTGTAATCTTCTTCATTCCATGCAGGTTTTGACTTCACACCTTTCTTCACCCTTCTTCACTGCACTTCCTGAGTGACCTCTCTGCCTCTCTGCCCCTCCTGCCTCCTCCCCTCTCCCAGCTTTCGTTCTTCTGTGCTATTTAATCTTTTCTGTCTGCCCTGTCTATCTCACACCTGCAGAAGGCTTCACAGCCAAAACGTTGTGTTTTCTCTCTTCTCTTTTCACCATGGCATAAACCTATTACTTGTTCCTTTGCAGACTACGCATGCTGAAGCAGCTACCCGCCTGAAGTACTTCAACTATTTCTATTATCTATCGAAGTCAAATTTGACATTAAATTGACTGTGTACCTCGTGTATCAATGCTCACTATTATTTCTGTGTATTTATCAGGTCCCCATTGCTCCAGTCCACAGTAATACACCGCAGTGTCCTGCAGGGTGAGATTATTCATGGTCACAGTGAAGGCCCTGACTGAAGTGTTGACAAACAGAGAGAATCTCCCCACAGTGACCTCAATGTCCGTCTTGCCAGTTTTAATGAGAACATCCTTATTCCAACAGGGATCCCGACACCAGTACTTCTCCTTGTACTGATACCCATCTGGATAGTAGCACCCAATCTCTACACGTCCTCCTTCAGATCCACTCACTCTCCTCTCTGCTGACATCACACAGCTGAGAACTGGGAAAAGACAAAAAAACAATCGGGATGGAATGATTCTTAAAAAGAAACAAAGAACTTTGTGCCTTTGAGAGAAATCTAAGTGTTTAACCAGGAACTGCTGTAGGTAGGTCCAATTGGACCCTTAATCTCTTGTGTTAATTGATGCAGGTAATGAAACTGCTTGCTTTTTTGCGCACTCAGCTCTTCGCTTCAGCACATGGAACGTCATGCAACCTCTCCATAACTTTAATCCCTTATTCTGACACAGACACTTAATTGGCAGTCTGTTCAAGATGAAGAGAGATCGAAAGGCATGACAATGTACCTAATTCTCTCAAGTCCAATTGGTTACATTTCAGCTAACACATCTGAATGAACAGAGTTCTGAAACATGGTGGATACCACTTTCAAACCCCATAAATCATTTTAACTGGTAAAAATTGTTTTGTTAAAAAACACACTGAAAATTGAAATTGATGAGTCTCTATTAAGACCTTGGTATGAGCAAATACCAGAAGACAGTGTTGCTCTAGATCTAGCATTGAGAACTGCTGGTTTAAAGGATCTCTTCCCAGATGTCTACTAAGAGGCCAGCACTGTATTGTGTGATGAATAATGTTCCTTGTTCTTTCAAGCTTCTGTACTGAGTTCTCTAGGTTTTGTTTACTACACTGCAGTACAGTCACACACAGCTCAGGACAGACACCTCCACTGCAGTAAAGTCACACACAGCTCAGGACAGACACCTACGCTGCAGTACAGACACACACATCTCAGCACAGACACACAGCTCGTGACAGACACATACACTGCAGTAAAGTCACACACAGCTCAGGACAGACACCTACACTGCAATACAGACACACACATCTCAGCACAGACAAACAGCTCAGGACAGACACCTACACTGTAGTAAAGTCACACACAGCTCAGGACAGACACCTACGCTGCAGTACAGACACACACATCTCAGCACAGACACACAGCTCGGGACAGAAACCTACACTGCAGTATAGTCACACACAGCTCAGGACAGACACCTACGCTGCAGTACAGACACACACATCTCAGCACAGACACACAGCTTGGGACAGACACCTACACTGCAGTACAGACACACACATCTCAGCACAGACACACAGCTCGGGACAGACACCTACACTGCAGTACAGACACACACAGCTCAGAACAGATATCTACACTGCAGTACAGAGACACACGGCTCAGTACAGACACTGACACTTCAGTACAGACACACACAGCTCAGAACAGACACCAACACTGCAGTACAGACACACAGCTCAATACAGAAACCTACACTACTGGATAGACACACAGCTTAGGACAGACACACAGCTCAGTGCAGTCATCTAAACTGGAGTGCAGACACACACAGCTCAGAACAGTCATCTACACTGGAGTACTGATACATACGGCTCAGGACAGACACACAGCTCAAGACAGCCACAGAGCTCAAGACAGCCCTACACTGCAAAACAAACAAACACAGCTCAAGTTTAGTCGGCTCTGTAAAACCGCAAAGAATATGTTTAGTAATTTTTATGACAAATGTTTAATTTGTTAAAAAAGTTTAAAAACAAAACACAAAATATTGCACTTATCCTTTTCTAACAAATCGTCAAATTATCATTTGAA